TTTTGAAGAGAATGATCAAGCATGGCGTGGCTTGCTTTTTTACACCATTCTGCAATATCTTTTCATTTCCAAAGCTTTATTTTTCAAGTTTTTGAGGGGTACGTTATACTCAGTGCCCATTTAGGAACTTGACTTTTGTTGTCTTTGTGATCGCTTTTGTAAATTTTAGTTTAGAACCCTATGCATTCATTCATTTCGCGCTATATAACGAGGTCTTTCAAAATAAGCATCAGTTCAGCACATTACTTAGCAGTTGGGTTTTGTATTTCGAATTGTTCATATTGAAGCTTCTCTAATGTTTTTTATAATCCAAGTTTCTTGTTTGTTATTTGGTTACTGTTTTTAAGTAACATTTGTGAATTCTTGTAATATAGTATACAAAACTGTGATTTTGTTTAGCTATAGCGATTCTCAGTGATATTCATATGATTTCATAAATTATAGGCAAAGACAGTTATTACTTTGGTTTCTCTATTTTCTTTTCTTTCTTTTTTTTTTTTATTTGCCGCAGTTGTTCAGTGTTTTGCGTCAGGGTTTTCATAAGTCAGTGTTAATTAATTTGTATCAGTCATATTTTTTCAACTAAAACTGGTGACAATTTCAGCTGTAAGGTTTGAAATAGTTTTTGTGATAGCTACCCTGTCGCTTTCTTAATTGCTCTATGGAATTTACATGCCCTACAACAGTTTAGTAATATAATTTTCTCGAGGGATTGCTTTAAAAGTTTTTCCAGAAGTACAACAAGTTTAAAGAGAAAAACTGGATTTTTGACCACTGTAAAATCATAGCTTTTGAAGTGATTATTGAGCTTATACTTGAAAAAACTTATTGCTTTGCAGTATTCTAATTGAAGATCTCCTTTCTGTTGTAATTTGTATTGCATTTGTAGTAGTTTTTAGTGGTCCGCCGGCTTCTGTTGTTATTGATTAGTTGATGTAGTTGTAGTTATAGCTGTTTTAATTAGTGACGAATCGTGTTGGTTAATTAACTTTTAAGAAACCAATGAAGGCATATTACAGGTTAATAAAATTCATTAATGGTTATATGACTACCTCCAGCTTCAGAACACCACTAGTACAGTAGTTTACAGTATGTACGAAGAAGCAGCGTTACACTGTGGCAGTAATCCGTTGTACATGAAAAATTTTTTGTCGTTCCCATCGACGCAGTCCAATTTACCATGATAACTGTTGAATATGAGATATATTTTGATGTTCACAAATTTCTGTTAGTATCTGCAGCCTATTATTCATTTATTTTGAATCCCTTCTCGTAATCCTGTTAATTGTTTTTTTGGATGCATTGACGCTTTTTTTACATTCTATTCAAGAAGAGAAAAGTATAGTGATATAAGCGTTGGAGCAAACGTAATCAGCGTTTTAAGGACCGATAATCAAGTTTGTTTGGTAAACTTGGTGAAAGAAAGCAGCTAATCATCTATTCTGCGAAATTTGGGGTAAAAGTATCAAGGGAATGTAACGTATGATCAGAAGACCATAGTTTGGAAGACTGCAGTATCGACAAAATAATGACGAACTGTTAGCTGTATAGCGAAGCGAAAACTGAAGGAACTGCTTGTAATCAAAATTGTTGAAAAGTCTGTATTTCATTCTGTATTTCATCATGTATTACTCGGTAATACAAAGATTTATTTTCAAAACAACATGGAATAAACAGAAGTGTCACCAGTCAAATATGACCAAGATGCCTAGCCTTCTAAACTCGCGATTCTTCTGCAAAGCGGTTCACTGGCAACTAGTATAACACTCTGCTGGAAGTCTAAAAGCAAAGCTTTTAAAACCAGTTTGTGGCCAACATCTGAGTGAAAATGGTAACACTAACAAATATTGTAGTTTGAAAACTGAAATACAAATATCACACAACTCTAAACTTACTACTGTACTAATATTTTCTTAGCGGGTCAAAGGTGATTATTATAAATGTTTGTGTCCTCAGAGCACCATTGGCTTACTAAAGCAAAAATCTTTTTAGTTGATCTCAAGTATAATTTTTTTACGGATTCGTTGTGTTTCTGCACCATAACTCGGTGCCAAAAAATCCACATTCAGTTATTTTCTTCACGTTTCCGCACTCGACTGCAAAACTTTTATGAATAGCTATTGCAATTCTTTTTGCTCCAATTAAACAAACCTTTATTAAAACAAAACTTTTTTCACATTTTTTTTCCTAAAGCTGTCTACTACTTGATGTTGTTTTTGTCAAGTATCATTTTACAATCTCTAGTTTTAAACGTCAAAAGCAGATGCCGGTTTTTGACAAGTAAACCAATTACAGAATTGAATATTACACATAATTTTTAGTTTTGTTTATTCTCTTCTTCTTGTTCTTCTCGACAAAAGTAGTTTGAAAAAGCTACTGTTAAGCTATATTTGTAATGTTTCATTACTTTAAAAATATAAGAGAATTTAGATTTGGGTTTCAGCGTGTAAAATATTTATATGATTTTTTTTATAATTAACAACTATCTAAAACAGTTCTCAGTTTTATATGCAAAAAAAAAAGACGAGATTTGAAAAAATTTTGGAAAACTGTTCTTGGTTTAGTAGCCTTTTGTAATACAGTCAAATAGCACAGCAAAGACACTTACTACTTACTAACATACAATTTATTTCAATTTAATTCACCTAACGAGTTTCGGTTATTTCTATTACAGGTATTACTTTTATTTAATCATAACTAATTTGCTTGTTTTGGGCTCATATACTAAGCATAATCGTTGACTCTACTGCTTTTGTTTTCAGCTTTCAACCTTATTTTCAATCATTTTCCACCACAAAAGTGTAACGGTAATTGTAGATCTGAGTTATGTGTGCGACTTATCCACAAAAGTTTTCTATGTATAATCGTCTGAGGCGGGTATTACTTTTTGTATAAAAAAAAATAAAATAAATTAAATAAAATCTTGAAGAGCTGTTTTTTCTTCAGTACTTTTTTTGCTGATAGTGTTAAATGAAAATTGGGCAACTTTATTTGAACACTCCTAAGTTTACCAAAGTTTTATTGTACCTGATCAGTGTCAATTGTCTTTGTAACTACGATTTTTGGGTGAACCTTTAACAGTCTATGTTTACAACGAGGAAAGTAATTTTGCTTCTTATACGAGTTAATCGATTATCAGTTTTAATTATCAAAATCAGTTGTTTTTTATAAAATTCTTTTTTTTTGAATGTTTTTATTGCAACTTTTGATTTTATTTTAATCATTTTTCAAATAAATCCTTATTTTGCTTGTTAGAAGATCGTTTTAACCAGTAGTGTAAATTGAATTTTTCAACTGTGGAATTGGGAAAATTGAGAAGGTAAGTAATGTTGTAAAGTTTATTTGATATATTTTTTTGCATACGTATCTAAAATGAACCTCAGTTTTTGTATGTTAAAATTTAAATAATGTTCTTAAATTGTTAAACTGATAAGCGTCAGCTAATATGGCAATATCGTACAGAGGTGACAAAGAGTTTAGTGCACATCAAGGCTTGTACTCATTGCTGAGGTAATAAATTTTACAGCACATTAGTGTAATTTTTAGTATGTTTCTTGAGACGGTTTATCATACTAAAAGCGCCATGTAATTTAGGATGATAATCTGGTCAAAAGTAAAGACACACCGTTATAGATAATGAAGTCTGGCTTTAGCAGCAGAAAAAGTCTTAATGAGCAGACAAAAAGGTATGTTTTGCATATTTCCGCTATGCTCAGCATAAAAACACCGTTGACAGCTTATTAATAAGCTAATAAAAGTTTTAAAAGTTTTAAAAAACTTTCTTATTAACTGGCATTACTTTTAGCACTAGTTTTTTGTCTGCTGGTAGAGTGCTACAGGAACGTTTGGCTCAATGCTGTTTTTCACAATTTGAATTTAAATGTGGCTTTTTCTTCTGATTCTTAATCTTTCGAATTTGTTACTTTTAGGTTTAGTTGCAACATTAATATACTTTATTTGGTCATTCTCGTTCGCAGCATGTACTCACGAATGAAACATAACATTAATTTTTGCTGTATACTTAGTAATTTATTGCACATTAACCGCAGTACAAAAGCGAAACAGCAAGGTTTTTAGGGTGATAATCCTGCTAACTACAGTGCACTACAGTCACTTATGAAACCTGAAGCCGTTAATATGGCCTGTCTAAAACGTGATTTCAAATAAAAAATAACCAGAAGTTCTGTTTCTTATTTCCTTTATGCCGTCATACTTTTCGTTTTGTAACAATTACAGCTTTGCATGCGCAGTACAAGTGGTACAAAATTGTGTTCCATATAAAAGTAAAATTTTATTAACATTTCAGTCTATCGTACGCAAAAGATTTAGAAGACAAATAAAATGGCTTTTTCTATGCAGGAATACAATACAAACCGTTATCAGAGATGCGATGGTAGATTAGACTAAATCGACGGGAGCGTCGAAGAATTAAACTGGTAAGCCGAAAGCTTCATCGGAAGTTTGTTAATTTCTATATGACTTGAGAACTATGAGATAGCTTCTCCACTTCCTTTATATTTATGATTGATTGATGAAAGAGTGTAGTCTTCAATTATATAAATTTC